TTCCCCAGAGCATGCCATGCCAATGCAGCCACTTGGTATTGACACAAGCAGCTCGAAATCAGGTACAATAAGAGAGAAAAACCGTCCAAAACATGCAGCCCGACGACTCCAGGCATGTAGCCCGAAGGCTCCAAACATGCAGCCTCCATGGGCTTTGCCACATGCAAACAGCCCTATAGGCTCGAATCATGCAGCTTTTTGAATAAACAAACATGAAGCTCCAGGGCACTGGCAGCCCGAAGGCTCAAAACATGAAGCCCGAAAGCTCAACGCATCAAGCCCGAAGGCTCAACAAATGAAGCCCGAGGGCTCAACCGATGAAGCCCGAAGGCTCAACACATGAAGCCTATATGGGCTCGACACATGCAGCCCGAGGGCTCAACACATGAAGCCTATATGGGCTCGAAACATGCAGCCCGAAGGCTCAACACATGAAGCCGATATAGGCTCGAAACATGCAGCCCGAAGGCTCAACACATGAAGCCTATATGGGCTCGACGCATGCAGCCCGAGGGCTCAACACATGAAGCCCTATATGGGCTCGAAACACGCAGCCCAAAGGCTCAACACATGAAGCCTATATGGGCTCGACGCATGCAGCCCGAGGGCTCAACACATGAAGCCTATATGGGCTCGAAACATGCAGCCCGAAGGCTTCACACATGAAGCCTATATGGGCTCGACACATGCAGCGCGAGGGCTCAACACATGAAGCCCTATATGGGCTCGAAACATGCAGCCCGAGGGCTCAACACATGAAGCCCTATATGGGCTCGAAACATGCAGCCCGAAGGCTCAACACATGAAGCCCTATATGGGCTCGACACATGCAGCCCGAGGGCTCACCACATGAAGCCTATATGGGCTCGAAACATGCAGCCCGAAGGCTCAAATGAACGAAGCCCGAAAGCTCAGACAAAGCAACACAGATCACCTGTATGCTTGTATGCTTCCATGCGTTGATATCATGCATTTGCAAAGCTCTCTTCCATGCGTCCGAATGTTTCTGTTCACGCTCTCTGCAAAAGTATGCACAGGATCCCGACTCTTGCAAAGCAAATAGCAGGCAAGAGAAACAACACAGCAGAATGCTTCCATGGACACATGCTCCTGTGCATCTATACATCAACCAAGTGCGACCTTGCATGAGGCAGGTTTCCAACGAGTGGTTTTTCTGCGACTGATATATTGTTTTTTGCTTGTTGAATGTCACACAAAAAATAATGTTGTGGGTGGAATTGCAATATGGTATTGAAGAAAATATCCGAAAAAAAGCCTGGTTCGCATGTTCAAAAAATCGTACTAAAGGGGTTAGCCTGGTTAGCACAGAGGTTAGTTTTTCTTATGTTAACTGGTTAGGTGTGGGTAACTTTGCCTAACTTGATTAAGACACTTATGGTTTCCTTAGAACCTCTTCAAAACCTTAGATGCATTATAACCACTTAATTACATGTTATGATGTATTTAGGAAGGACTTATAACAAGGTTATAAAGCATTCAACCAATAAGCAACCCCCCGGGACATTCAAGGCATGCGTGTGCGTGTGCGTGTGCGTGTGCGTGTGCGTGTGCGTGTGCGTGTGCGTGTGCGTGTGCGTGTGCGTGTGCGTGTGCGTGTGCGTGTGCGTGTGCGTGTGCGTGTGCGTGTGCGTGTGCGCGTGCGCGTGCGCGTGCGTGCGCGTGCGCGTGCGTGTGTGTGTGCGTGTGCGTGTGCGTGTGCGTGTGCGTGTGCGTGTGCGTGTGCGTGTGCGTGTGCGTGTGCGTGCGTGTGCGTGTGCGTGTGCGTGTGCGTGTGCGTGTGCGTGTGCGTGCGTGTGCGTGTGCGTGTGCGTGTGCGTGTGCGTGCGTGCGTGCGTGCGTGTGCGTGCGTGCGTGTGCGCGTGCGTGCGTGCGTGCGTGCGTGCGTGCGTGCGTGCGTGCGTGCGTGCGTGCGTGGGTTGTGGGTGGGTGGGTTGTGTGTGTGTGTGCGGAGTGACAGAATGCCCTGTCACCATTCTTTCAAAATAGCTGCAGGGGGCACAGGCCCATGGTGGTGACCTGTGCCAACGAAGCTAGCCACCATGGGGGAAGCGCGGACTGATCATCCGCGTGTACCTGCTTTTGTGAAGTGATGTTTCTGAAGGTCCTGTTGGCCTTGTGGAGGCACTGCCCCTCCCACAAACGAAGCAAAGTAGATGGCACAATTCCACGCGTGGGCTTGCGAAGCAGCGCAGGCGTCGATCTCGCCTTGGACTCCCGAAAAAGGCTGCACTTCCTTAACTCCCTGCAAGGCTGCCTTGCCAAATCAGCCCTCATCCCCCCCTGCCTGGAAAAATATCGTACTTACCTGGCTGAAACTGGTGTGGCTGGACCTCCCCGCTGCCTGGCGGCGGCCTTGTGGAGGCACTGCCCCTCCCACAAACGAAGCAAAGTAGATGGCACAATTCCACGCGTGGGCTTGCGAAGCAGCCCAGGCGTCGATCTCGCCTTGGACGTCCCGAAAAAGGCTGCACTTCCTTAACTCCCTGCAAGGCTGCCTTGCCAAATCAGCCCTCTGCTTGCCTGGTTGGACATCCCCCTGCCTGGAAAAATCTCGTACTTACCTGGCTGAAACTGGTGTGGCTGGACCTCCCCGCTGCCTGGGGGCGGCCTTGTGGAGGCACTGCCCCTCCCACAAACGAAGCAAAGTAGATGGCACAATTCCACGCGTGGGCTTGCGAAGCAGCCCAGGCGTCGATCTCGCCTTGGACGTCCCGAAAAAGGCTGCACTTCCTTAACTCCCTGCAAGGCTGCCTTGCCAAATCAGCCCTCTGCTTGCCTGGTTGGACATCCCCCTGCCTGGAAAAATATCGTACTTACCTGGCTGAAACTGGTGTGGCTGGACCTCCCCGCTGCCTGGGGGCGGCCTTGTGGAGGCACTGCCCCTCCCACAAACGAAGCAAAGTAGATGGCACAATTCCACGCGTGGGCTTGCGAAGCAGCCCAGGCGTCGATCTCGCCTTGGACGTCCCGAAAAAGGCTGCACTTCCTTAACTCCCTGCAAGGCTGCCTTGCCCAATCAGCCCTCTGCTTGGCTGGTTGCACTTCCCTGTGTGTGGAAAAATCTCGTACTTACCTGGCTGAAACTGGTGTGGCTGGACCTCCCCGCCGCCTGGGGGCGGCCTTGTGGAGGCACTGCCCCTCCCACAAACGAAGCAAAGTAGATGGCACAATTCCACGCGTGGGCTTGCGAAGCAGCCCAGGCGTCGATCTCGCCTTGGACGTCCCGAAAAAGGCTGCACTTCCTTAACTCCCTGCAAGGCTGCCTTGCCAAATCAGCCCTCTGCTTGCCTGGTTGGACATCCCCCTGCCTGGAAAAATCTCGTACTTACCTGGCTGAAACTGGCTGGACCTCCCCGCTGCCTGGGGGCGGCCTTGTGGAGGCACTGCCCCTCCCACAAACGAAGCAAAGTAGATGGCACAATTCCACGCGTGGGCTTGCGAAGCAGCCCAGGCGTCGATCTCGCCTTGGACGTCCCGAAAAAGGCTGCACTTCCTTAACTCCCTGCAAGGCTGCCTTGCCCAATCAGCCCTCTGCTTGGCTGGTTGCACTTCCCTGTGTGTGGAAAAATCTCGTACTTACTTGGCTGAAACTGGTGTGGCTGGACCTCCCCGCCGCCTGGGGGCGGCCTTGTGGAGGCACTGCCCCTCCCACAAACGAAGCAAAGTAGATGGCACAATTCCACGCATGGGGCGTCGATCTCGGCTTGGACGTCCCGAGAAAGGATGCACTTCCTTAATTTCTGCAAGGCTGCCTGCCAAATCAGCCCTCTGCTTGCCTGGTTGGACTTCCCCCTGCCTGGAAGAATCTCGTACTTACCTGGCTGAAACTGGTGTGGCTGGACCTCCCCGGTGCCCGGCCTTGTGGAGGCACTGGCACAATTCCACGCATGGGCTTGCGAAGCAGCCCAGGTCAGGCGTCAATCTCGGCTTGGACATCCCGAAAAAGGCTGCACTTCCTTAACTCCCTGCAAGGCTGCCTTGCCAAATCAGCCCTCTGCTTGCCTGGTTGGACTTCCCCCTGCCTGGAAAAATCTCGTACTTACCTGGCAGAAACTGGTGTGGCTGGACCTCCTGGGAGCGGCCTTGTGGAGGCACTGCCACAAAAAGTAGATGGCGCAACTCCAAATGCAACAAACCGTGACTTGGCCACCGGAGGTGAAAGTAGATTGCACATTTCTTGTTTAACCGCCCGCCCTACACCCTATCTGTCACATCAGCTGGCGCTGACTCGGCATGAAACTGAAGTGAGTGAGTGAGTGAGTGAGTGAGTGAGTGAGTGAGTGAGTGAGTGAGTGAGTGAGTGAGGGAGGGAGGGAGGGAGGGAGGGAGTGACTGAGTGAGTGAGCGAGCGCCTGAGTGAGTGAGTGAGTGAGTGACTGAGTGAGTGAGTGAGTGAGTGAGTGAGTGAGTGAGTGAGTGAGTGAGTGAGTGAGTGAGAGAGAGAGAGAGTGAGCGAGCGAGCGAGCGAGTGAGTGAGTGAGTGAGCCAGTGAGCGAGCGTGAGTGGACGCACTGAATTGTGCCATAAATTATTCTTAGGGGGCTAAAAAATTGTGCCATCTATTTTGCATCCCGGTTGACCCCCAATTATCTGGCGCCGGCGCGCGGAGTGTAATTATCCAAGTTGAAGAAAAGTAGATGGCACAGACCATTTTTTTGAGCCATCTATTCTCCGGGTAGAGTAGCCACAAGGCATATTTCGCGTCAGCCTTGTTCCACCATGTTGATGTTTGGAATAATATTTCTAGCTTTGGACCAATCCCCCTATCAGTCAGAGGGAGCCAAAGTAGATGGTTTCTTTGCTAGTGGGGAACCCTTGATTAGCACGGTCCTCGACTTGACCCGAAGTCAACATTAATCCAAGTTTCGCGTTTAATTGATTTTCGAGGCTTAGCTTCCAATGTTGTCCAGGTTTCAGTCTGTATCCTTTGTTGTCGCTTAAGATGCTATGTTGTTTGGAGATGTGGCAGCTTTGCTGAGGTGGCGCCTCTTCGAGCAAGGCCCTTTGCATGTTTTGTTCATCGAATCACAGTCATGCGGGGACAGCCGCCATAGCGAAACCTTACGCTGCACAGTAAAGGCGTGAAGGCTAAGGCTAAGCTTTGCAAGCCACCCTGGAACCATTCTAGAGCCGATGTAATTTGCTGTCTCTTATGAGCAAAAAAGCAGGGGATCTAGCAAACGCGCAACTGGAAGGTTGCCCTCCAACAGCCAGGTTTACAAGGGCAGCATTAATCAACATGGTTTTGTGCCGAAGAGCATGGCTCAATGTGGTTTCAAAAGTACCTAGGCCCTTGCGTTACGCATGCTAGTCACCACTTTGCTTGTATGGACAAGGCGTCGATGGCGCAAAAGCCGAGTGTACGGTTTGTTGCTGCGAAAACGTCCTTTCTCCCACATAGGAAAGGTGCTAATTGGCTGGGGTTGCTTTGGGACAGTCAAAATAGGTTTGCGGCTTTTTGGCGCGGTGACTGAGGGCTGCCTTGAAAGGCAGGCAGGCTTACCATCTCGTCACAGCCCATGGTGACTGATTAATTGACCTCGCTGTAGCAAAGTGCAAGCCCAGCTTCACTCAGTTGGACTGACTTCGAAACAATGTCAACTTCACTTCGGTTTTCAGGAACACCCTTAAACTGATCGGTGTTCCGCTAGTGAAAATTGATCCATTGAATTCGTCCTGACCTCTCAGCCTGCGATTGCACGGTTTGGTTCGGAGTTCTTTTTACCGTTGTTTTTTCCTGATCATGGCAAATCCTGTTGGTTCGGAGGGCTTCTTTTGCTATTCAACAGCAGAACATACTGTTAACAAAATCCATCTCACACACTTTGAGGTCCTGGGTATCATAATTCCCAGCCCTTCAAAGCCAACTAACCAGGAGGATTTGCGCTTTCCAGGCCGCTTTGAAACACCTTTCGCAAGCAGGAAGTGAACTTTTTCCTGGCAAATCACACTTCTGCAACTTATCACGACCCCCCCAAAGCCATTTTCTTTGGGGGAACTAAAATGCCCATTGTGAATTTCCCCGGAAGGACATCAAACTTTCATGTTTTTGACATTCACCTATTCGTATCCACTTGTGTTTAATATTGATGCAGAGCCATACGGGAGCCACGGGAAGTTATGGAGCCAAACAAGAGACGAGGTGTTCAAGGGCAATCCAGACTATGGATTACGACAGGATCTGGTTCCTTTTGCAGTGTTTTTCCAGGTAGTATCGAAACTCCGATTGGCCAAGCCTCCATTGTGAACAGTCCATTTCAGTCCAGAAGAACAGCGTCTTCGGAACTTGCAGAAAATGGTGCAGAAAAAGGTGGGAACATTTGCAAGTTGGCTATCCTCCTGGAATATAGAACCTACCAGATGGTCCCTTTTGAAAGTAGCATAGTCTTTCAGGACCCCTAAGTCAGGTTCCATGTTAGTGGAAAGGAAAGCACCTGTTGTTTGTGGGTATTCGAGGACTCAGTTTTCCCCCGACTTGGTTCGGATGGGTGGCGTGGGGATTTCAACCCCTGGATCTTGTTGAATGGGAAACCACCACGGAAACCCGGGCTCCAAACCACTGGCCACTTTCTCCGACATAGCACACATTCAGTTCCAACTTAATTCGTGGTTTGGGGCTTTGAACCACCAAACCAAACCACCAAGTTCGGGGCTTTTGTTTTTGAAGGGTACCCTTTCGGGGTGGTTTGAACTAGAAACAAACAGGAAAGCCACATTGTGATTGTTTTTTTTTTTTGCGACAAACCCATCCCCCTACCCCCTCGAAGGAGGTTTCAACGCTTCCTGTGTTGAGAATCCCCTTTTTTCTCTATGGCAATGGCTTGCCCCCTTCCAAACCATGGACGTGGACAAGTGGAAGACACCAACCTCCTGAAAATGCGCAGTGTCATAGGTGTCCTTTATTGTCCTTTTCAGGTTTGATTAAAAATAGATGGCACTGGTTAGAAGTAGGGCTTTATGCCCCATTTACCGCCATCCTTTTTTCCAAAAGGCCCCGTAGAAGTGGACAGTGGAAGACAAGTCCAACCTGAGCAACAATCAACACCCGGGTAGATGATGGTTAGTGAGGGGCAGTCCCAACCGGAAATAGCCGCTGCCGCCTTGCTACTTCTTTACATGGTTCTGGGTTCAGCATTTGTGTACCAGGTTTTGATTGTGACTCACCGCTGAAAAGGCCCCTGCCTTTACACTTTTCAGTTATTGCTACATAGAAGATTCACCGTGAGGCTCCCACACTCAACTGTTTCCCCTGGGTTCACCATTTTTGTATCGATCGGTTTTGACTGAGACTCTGCTGAAAAGGCCCTGGTCCACGTTCCCTCATTCTTTTTCACCCCAGCTAGGTCCCCCAGTACAGTACCCTTCTCTCCCCTTTTTTGGGGGAGGGTTCCCCTAAAATAGACTGCAGAAACAAAATCGGGTACCAACTTATTCTGACCTCTCTTCTCTGGAGGACCTACCCCAGACCGCTGCCTCTTTTCCATTTTTCCTCCGAAGGCGCCGCCGCAGATCTCCTCCAAAGCGCCTACGCGGCGCAACCCGCGAGCCTGATGGGCTGCTACGAGTGAGACGCGAAAGGGGAAGCTTAGAAGGGGTACTGGGGTAGGGAATATATATATATATATATATATATATACTTTGTGCATTTTACTTGGATGTTGGGACTTTAACTTTTTGCCAACTAAGGAGTTTTCCATCAATCCACCTAAAGTTAAACTTTTAGCAGGGGAGCAGAAAGCAACCGAGTATATATATATATATACATATATACACATGTATGTGTATGAGTTGTTATTTAATTGCCATATTACTGTTAGTAATTGTTTATTATTATTATAATTGGCTTGTTCACATGCGTGTACATACTTATGTGTATACATGTATATATATATAAAAGAGCGAGAGATATATATATATACACTCCGCAACCAGCCCCGAAAAGGCGCTAGGATGTATGTCCACGCACAGCTGCGGGCAAGATGGGAAGCCGCCAGAGTAGCCAGGGACTAGTTCCATGGATCATTCAATCAGATCGCGGAGCCATATCTCGAGAGATTCCCCTGCTCCATGGCTGCAAGTGTGGCGCGATTTTTTGGCTTCTCATCCTGGTGGAAACACACATGGCTTTTCTACAAAACCGGAAGTTGAAGACTGTTTTCGCCCAGGAAGAGCAAAGCATGTTCCACTTTTGCAGATGGCGCTCTGTTTCCTGTTGCTCATCGCTGAGTGACACTGAGTAACACTGAGCGACGGGCACGTGTCGCAGCCGTTCTTTGCCTGAATCCTGCTTGGTTGGCCTTCAACAACGAGCAACTGGGTTTTCTCGGCTAGGATACATCTTCACGGCCTGCAGATGGCCAAGATTGGAGCAAACAAGACGGATGATTCTGGCTTGTGCCGAATCCGTCGGTTTTGCTCCACATTGTGAATTGTTTCGAGCTCTCTGGTATTCACTGGTCCATGACCAGTCTGTGACACGGACCTGCTTGTTTTTTTCACGTGCCACTGAAGAGTTGTACTGCACAGGCGCCTCAATGAATGAGGCTCGCAGTTTGGCCTACCATAGAACTGGTTTAACGCCTCTACTGCCTGGCTGGCTCCACAGGGAAGGAGAGATCAACTGGTTATTGTCCATGTGTGCAGTATGATGCGGGAGACAAAAAAGCACTTATGTTCAATCACCCTGTTTAATGTTTTTTTCTAATGACTTGTTTGCTTGCCTCAGTTAAATGTATCCGGATTTGAGCCTCGAAAGACGGCCTGCAAGGCCTCCAGTCCCAAACTGAGGAGCTACAGCAAGGAAGGCCATCGGAAGGTCGTGATCCTCAATAGCCCCCTGATGGCCTCAGCTGGTCACTTGATAGGCACTAGTTTCTGCGAGGTTTTGGCTTCCCCTGTCATGGCTCCAGTATGAACTTGGTAGGGCAGTTGGCTGTTTCTGGTGCCTGCAAAGTGCGGGTGCCTCAACGTGCCCACCATCGATTCTTTCAACAGAGAACTTATGATGGCGCGAAAAAGTCAGATGTCGTTTCCTCTGGGCTCCTTTGGGCAACTGAGTAGGTAACCAGGGGTTCTTACTTCTAGGTGTTAGCATGGATGGTTTCCTCTGGTTCCCCATGTTGGCGAAACACCTGCACATATTGAGAAAAGATTTCAGACGCTTGGTGAAGCAGAGTTTCATAGCCGGGGCTGATTCAGGCTCAACCCGGTGTCGATATTGTTTTGGCTGAGGAAGCAATATTACTGGTATCGGTTTTGCATGGGCCCCTCTCGGTTTTGAGGGGCTGGGTATCGGTTTTGGCCAGGCCTTCGGATGTTGAATTACTATTTTTATGGTGCAACCCCAGCACTGTTTGAACCTGACTTGCACGGCCTCATGGGTGCGAAGTACCCTCCCCCCACGGATTATGGGCTTTTGGAAGATTACTTGAGAAGCGGCTGTTGGAACGAGGGTAGCACATATTTCGCATGGTTTCCAAGTTGAAGCAAGAGTTTGGCGATTTAGATTGTTCCAGGCCTCCTATCATACCCAGGACACGAGGCGAGAGTTCCCGATTGGAGCCGCGTCTTTTTGTTCGGGAATGGTTTGCAAGGTACGCCGATTCAAATTTCAGCCTTGGGAATACCACTGCTTGAACTGCTGAGGGTTCCCTCAAGAAAGTGCAAGCCTCAGGATGTTGGGCCTCACTTCACTGGGTTGCCATTGGCACATGAATCCGCCTTGACAAATGACAACAGGGATGCTTAATTGTTTTATGTGTCCAGGGCCCCCTCGTTGGCATCCAGTTCTATGTGGGCCCTTCATTTCGTTGGTTTGGTCTTGCACTGCTTTGACTGTCAGATTTTTGGAGTTGATGATGTTCCCTTGGCTTGCAACATTGCCAGACTTCGTCGTACTTTGGTAATCCTTCATGTTTATGCTTCTGGGAGCTCGTTTGAAATGATGCTTACTGACTAAACATTATCCAAAATCAAACATGATGTTGTTGGTTGAGAGCTAAGGTACAAGTAGTTTCCCTTGCAAATGTCCTCAGTGCCCAGATGAGATATGGTGCAAACATTGGACATACCCACGTTTGAATTCTGGACGTGTGACTTCTTCTCGCCGCAGTGACCGAAGCAGGGGACAACATGGTCAAAGGTCGTGCCACAAGAACAGGGAGGCACAGGCCAGATGCGAACTGCTTTTCATGGCGAGCGCTCTAATTTGGGGGTTAAGATGAAATCGCAATGCAGATCATGAGGGTTCCCAGTCTTGGTTCAGGTGTGTTGGAATGATTGCATTTTGTGGTTCCTTCTCTGACAGAGACGGAAATGACATGTAGCATTGGCTGCTTTTGGTCCTCCTGGTCCGATCCCAAAAAACTGCATATCGGTATACACCTCCATTCGTCTACAAAGTTTGACCCCGGGGCCTCTGCTAACTGACAACCCCCCCCAGTTCTGAGAAGAGTGTTGCGGTGTGGGGGTAATACTACTGGTCCTTATCAAAGATGTCCCGCATGCCAGGCTCGCCATACTAATGTTCTTTCACAAGGCCACAACGCAGGACTCGCCAACCCGCCAACATAACTCCTCAGAAAGCGATATACGACACATAGCTTAAACCCAACCCCACTCAACCCTATGATCGCAAACTGCAATCGCCTCGGGAGTAGCCAACCAATGGCCGACGGTGAGTCATTGAACTCAAGCTCAAGCTCAATCAAACAATCAAGCTGTTACACAACCGTACAAATGCAAACACAATTTCCAATAATACAAAATTCAATAGCGCGCAATAACAGGAACAACAACAACAAAAACAAACAGAAAATATATGTTCATGAAAAACAACATAGCAAATCCTCACTTTGGAATTATATTCGAACAATCAGTATGTCTAACAAGTTCCTGCGTGATTGTACATAGTTTGCATTGCGTTACCGCCAAACACGCTGGCTGCAGTAGTATTAGGAAGTAGTAGTATTGCTTATTATCATCTTTTTGAGATCTCTCTGACTCGCTGTGCAATTTGTTAGCGTAGATCAAGGTCCAACCTCGGGCGGGGCGGCGCGCCGTGACAATCCAACTGTAAAACAAGTCGCGCAACACACGCACACATCATGCGTCAGCGCATGAGTGGAACAGTCACACGACAGCCGCGTTCAGCAAGTACTGGCCAGCAAGACTGGCGGCGCTCGTTTTGCTGCCTCAAGGCCTGCCTATACAAACACAAAGACCAATGACTCGACTGGCAAAAGAAGCACGCGACGCGACACAGCCCGTCAGAGTTTGTCGGAAAAACAAGCTGTTCACACTCTCGGTTGGAACCTGCCCAGACAAAGCATTGGGGGCGTGGACAGTCGAAAAAGTGAACAAATGACTGAATAACGGACAGGCTGCGGCTGCGTCTCGTGCCGTCGGCAGTCTACCCGAGTCTTTTATGTCGGCCTGAAATGCGGGCAGCCTGATGTGCTGACCAGGCCCAAATGAAAAACAATTGAAACCGTGGACGATTAACGCTTGAGTCATTTGAGCACCTGCGTGCCGAAAGCTTTTTTGAACAGAACGAAGAAACATCGAAACTCATCTAATGAGCCGAATGGGACAAAAGTTGCTTGGCTGCAGTGTTGATTGACCGATGACATGCTAGCATCGTGCCAAAGCAAAAACGCGGCGTGATGCGCGTGGCGCATTGAGCACCGCCGCCGTGCATCCAAAACCCAAATGGACTGAACTCATCAGAGTCAGAATCAGGCTTGGTTGGGGCTACGCGGCCAGTACCCAGAAACCCAGACATTGAAGCTTAGCTACAGTAACTGCCGAGCCAACCCGCAAGTTGGCCTCTTTGATTGCCCTGTCGCAACTGTCCCCAAGTTCCCTGTTGACACAATGGCCGAAGTCTAGCAACTAGAAACTACGCAACTTGAAAAGAACTTATTAATCTAATCAGATTGCGGAAGCGTTGGGTAGAAACAAAACTCAACAATTAAACGCAAACATGAACATGATGAGTTCTGAGTCAACCTAACAAGTTAGCTGCTACTACGGGCTGACAACAAAAAACTGCCGGGCTCGGCAGAGAACTTAACTGCGCCGCACCCGGGCGCCTGCTGCAACCTTCCCCCCCCCCAAACAAGGTCCGAAATCAAGCATAGCAACTCCTACCTGGTCATTCCTGGGAAGGTAGGTGGAGTACTGACAAGGGTGCTACTTGGCCGGACTTCCCAACAGCTGAGCCAGCTCAACAGGCCGCAATGCAAAATGCTGCTGGCTGCCATGGCATGATCCAGCAGAGCGGCAAAGCGGCTGTCTGTTAATTCGCGCCATAGCACGGAAGTACGCGCTATGAGCGCAACGGCCCCAAATTCGGAGCGCGCCACTGCGCTGGCACAACAACGGCTCAAACTCAAACCGTCAGAGACTCGTCGTGTAAGGGCGAGAACAAGTTGACAAAATTAACCCCCTGAGCCATGAGTTGTTGAAAACAGGCGAGAGAGCGCTGCGCGTAATGAACCCTGCGAGCACTGATATCATCACACACAGAGAGCATTGTGTCCTAGACGTCTGTGCGTCTAACAATCAGAATCGAGAATCGAAACGGTGACTCGGTGGGCGGACGGAAACTGG